GCATTAATTAAACGAGGCAACTGTGAAGGAGAAGGCCATGAGGCCCTGATGACGGTGGGACCAGACGCAGCAAAGGCTGCTCTGAGGAATAAGTACTGAGCAGAGATCTGAAGGATGAGTTGAAATTCAGCAGGTGAGCAAAGCTGGGAGGGGGAGGGTAGTGCAAGGAAAGGAGGAGCATGGCATCTGTAAATGCAGATCTTCTTACAGGGGAAGGCGGACTGACACTGAGGCTAGAGTAATAGGAAGTGGCCAGAGCATTCTAGACATGGTGGGCTACGTCAAGAGTTGTGAACAGAGATTATATGTGAAAAAAAAAAATGAAATGGAAGGAAAGCTAAAAATGATCAAGACTAAAATCTCAGGATCTGAAGATAGTCAATGATGTATTACTAAGTCAAAGAAATGGTTAAATAATTCCATGGACTATACAGTTAGGTTGTGTTACTGAAAGAATCTAAGTTTATTGGAACTACATCTTGAAATTTTCAGGTTTGAGGAAATGCAACCTGGTATTAATAATTTTTAATGCTTCTTGGAGACAGAATTTTGGGCTAAATGGACCTCTAATTTGACACAGTGAAATACAATGTGTGTTTTCACCAAGGGGCCCTCAGCTTTCACTGCTATGAAAACAATATAGCATTTAATTTTTGACAGGCAATTATATACAGATAAACATTTCAGGCTTCTGGAATTATTGCAATAATTATTTTGCTAGAAAATAATCATGTATAACTTAATACTTTAAATATAACACTGTCATATCATAACTATTTACATAAGATGAATTAGTTGCATTTAAGCTTTTACACATAAACATTGAATAGATAAACTTCCTGAGGCTCACTTAAATATTATGATATTAAACTGAGATTAATTCCAATGCTTCCTTAAAAGCTGGAGATTTGTTCTGTCTTTCTCTTGATAGTTGTAGTTAGTATAGACTAGGGCACCCTCACCATTACCCACAGAATCTTTTTTATTCTCCATGTGCAAAAACTATCATCTTAGCTCATATGTACCATAAGTACTTCCTATATATATACTTTAATACTCTCCTTTAGATCTCTTTACTGTAATCTTCTGGCAATACTGTAGCCACAATGAGACAGAGCAATAATAGGAAAAGAACTGGTATAATTCCCAGAAGTCACTTCACAGCTCAATTTCACCAAAATTTTTATTTCCATTTACTCCTTAATTAACAAAACAAGTATATAACAAAACTGGCTGATTTGAGTTTTATCTCCTTTCTAAGTTCTTGATCTCTTCTTGGTGAAACTGCTCTACTAGTTAGTGGCCCAAAAAGGAAAAAATAAAGAGAAACAGAAGTTTACCAGAGAAATCATTTGGGTATTATGGGGACTATTTTAACCTATAGGTACTCTAAGATATTTACCAAGAATGCAATTAAAGAATGAGATAAATTATTTCCTCACCTCATAAATGAAAAGTAGAAGAGTTAAAAAAAAAAAAGTGAGACTCTTAGAAACTTCACACTCCACTACAGAAGATATCTATTATTTTAAATTAAACAAAAACCATGTATTTTCAGGGATGGCTCATGTTAGACACAAATCTACACAAATAAAGTCACCATGAATATAGAAAAATATCAACATAAAAATGATAATTCAGATTTTGTTTTAAGATGGTCTGTCTAGTAATAGACTTAATTTTAGGGAAAGGTAAAGCATGAGAAATATAAATTTTAGTTTTCTCATGTACACATTTGAAGGTTAACATAGGTTTTAAGAACAAAGGCCAACAACACTACATTCTCAACATGGTTATGACACAGAGGAAAGTTAAAAAAAAAAAAAAAAGTACATTTAAGGAATGTCAGTTTTTCCATGAAGCACATTCTATCCCTTTCCATATGACATCAAGTTCAATACAGTCTTATGAAACTGAGAGAATACTGTCCCTAACGTCTGACTTTCAGTATATACACATAATATTATTTCTAAGAAGACATTTTACCTTCCTTATATTGTATGGGTTTGTAAATTCTCTTTTTTCTAATCTACCAGTCACATCTGCGGGCCAAGCATCTCTTTCCAAAAGAGGAATTAAGGCCAAGCAAGACAAAGAATTTGCTGATACACATATGTCACTCCAAAAATTTCCCTGGCAAAGTTTCCACACCCAATTTAATTACTTCCCTACTGTAAAAACACTTTCCATCTGCATTTATTCTAATCTTTTCAAATCCAAAACCAACATACTATAAAGCTAGCTAAATAAATCAATGATATTAGCTTTAGGTTCCAAGTGAGGGAGCATTTTATAAGGCAGTGGGTCTCCAGCTCCCATGCATTTTATGCTGATACCGTATTTCATTTTGAGCTCAGTTCTTTCCTATAGATTTGTTTAGAATAGAATTACCTAGCCCCAGGCCTTAACTCTCTCTTTCTCTCTCTCCCTGGCCGCCCGCCCCCCCACATATACACACACACAGAGGGGAGGGAAGGAGGGAGGCATGGGGGAGAGAGAGAGAATATATGAATATTTGTGGTTCTTAATGAGCAAAAAAGAATGTACCCATACATGTATATGCTAAAGTAATGCTGTCCATTATCTATAATAAAGGCATCTTCATGTTTTTTCTGATTGTTTATAAAAACTGAACCTCAGTACACGCATACAATAATTATTAATTTTGGCATCCCTTGATTCGTTGACTATTCAGTAAGTTATTGTATCCTTTTGTGCAAGATGTTCTATAGCGTATCTTTATTCTCTTCTTGGTGTTCCATCACTGCACTGACTTAATGCCATTTTGCCACTCCCAGACCTAATATCTGTGAATAAATAGAGAATCCAAGAATAGCCACCTCTTTTTGTTATTGACACTATGAGGGTGTGGAGGTTGTCATTTGCACCACAAGTTAGGAGAAGGGACCAGACACTATCAAAATGTCTGGGCAACACTGAATCAATAAATGATTCCAAGTTTTCTTGAAGGCCTTTCCATCTCGGGTTTTTATAAACAAGGGTGCTTTATGTGTTTGTTTGTTTGTTTTTGTTTTTTTGCGGTACGCGGGGCTCTCCCGTTGCGGAGCACAGGCTCCAGATGCGGAGGCTCAGCGGCCATGGCTCACGGGCCCAGCCGCTCCGCGGCATGTGGGATCTTCCCAGACCAGGACACAAACCCGCGTCCCCTGCATCGGCAGGTGGACTCTCAACCACTGCACCACCAGAGAAGCCCCTATGTGTTTGTTTTTTATATCACAAAGCTTTAGAATCCTTAGAAATTGATTTGCCTAATTTTACCCATATATTGCAGACTAGGAAACTTTTAGAAGCAGCTAATCCATGGCAACCAACTAGTAGTTTCCAAGAAGTCAAGACACTTTTTAATTAGTTTCTATTATATAATAATAATATATAACGAAATACATTTAAAACAATCTTTTAAAAACAACTGTTATTTATCTTAAAAATAAAATTGCACGTTTAGGGCCATATGGGTTGGGATTTGCTAGATAAATGAGAATGATCTAATTCCAGGTTTAAATACACTGAGATCTGAATTCTCTCTTTCTTTTTTAACTTACTGATATAAATTGAAAACACTGAATCACTTTGGTGCATTTCTGCTTGTTTAAAATTTGTTCAAGCACTAACACTATCTGTCCAAAGATCCTGAGTGGCCTAAAGAGTAAAACATTTTGATATATAATATTAATAAAAAGAATATAATTATATGTTCTGTTTTCCCTACTAACCCTAAAGACCAGCTACTTGCAAAGATTATCTAATTAGTTAAACTATAAGTCATAGTTGGGTTTCTCATAGAGGTCAGCAAAATGGTCAGGAAGGAAATGTCCACAAGGAATAGAGCTTGTCTCCCCTCTCCACACATCCTGGAACTCCTTTGCTTTGTAGGAAAAATTTAATGGTTCATCCATTTCCTAAAGCTCCAATAAGCTAAAAGCATTTGGTTCTATTTTGATATCTAATCGTAAAAGACAAAGATCATATGTCAAAAATCCTATATCATATTATATACTTTTGATGATCCAAAAGAAAAGACCACACACAGTCATTTCACTATAATATATATAGGAATTAATTATAAGAATATCATATTACATAAAACAAAGGAAGATTTACTCAAACTGTGAATGGACTGTATATAATATATACTTGCTTTCCAAAAGGAAAATATGGTGGTCATTAACATTTTACCTAGCTCTGTATTGTTTTACTATACCAAGAGAATCACTACATACATCATAAGCTGGAGCAAGTAGGACAAAATAAACTAACACCCATCTCACCGTTAAACAAATTTCTTAATGCAAGAAATTAAGTTATATCATTTATATCATATGAAGGATATGCGTTTACTATTGTTATGATATTTAAAATACTTTTACTTACCCATTTAAAATTTTGAAATAAAAACAATGAAAACGTAGACCTAAAAATGTCTGTCAGGCATCTGGTCCAACCACAAACAACTAAATGGGGCTAAACTCCTGTATGTAGTGGCCTGACCACTTTAATTCATCATTTCTTCAAGCTCTATATAACTATAAAGAGAATGCCAAGTTAATTTTTATCTTTTCTCTTTGATGGCATTCTCAAAATCTAGCAATGTTTGATTGAAAAACAAAAGGTAGATTTTTGGTAAACACAGATTTAAGAGGCATTCAGTTTCTGGCAAAATTTCAAATGTGAACACGTTATAAGAAGAGATTAGAAAGAAAAATGTGGGTGAACTTAAAATAATGAATGCTAAGGGAATATATTTTCAAGTGTTCCTAGAGATGTTTTCACTATTGTTCTTTAAAGTTGATTTCAGTCAGTGCCCTTTTTTTTAATATTATGATTAATGGCATCCTAGCCAGTCTAATGTGTAATTTCCATACAGATAAGTTCTTAAGCTCAATGTTTTAAAACACAGTTGTATCTAGAGTCTAATGTCTTATTAGTTCTCAAAAATTGCAATTTTTCTTAGTGAAGTCTTGGCCTCTATTTTACTCTACCTGGAATTCTGGGGTTCTGGAACATCTGATTCTGTGCACGTTTTCTTTACCTGTAAGAAAAGAGTACTAGTTAGTCTCATATGAAAATACAACTTCCTCATTCAGGTTCACACACTTGTTAAACTTAATGTGGCTACAGCTCTGCTCACCAAGATCTCTATAAAATACTCCCCACATTTTACAGCGGTAGCATGCAGTATTAAATAGTGTATTTCATTATTATCCTATGAACAGCTGCCAAAGGCACTTCCCTAGACTCCATTAGTATGTAAAATGTTCAGCTAAAATAGCTTGGGCCTAGCTTAACTAGGAACAAAGAAACCAAAGAACCAGGTTTCCCACTTAGGAACTGGAAAGTCATACTGCTCTCAATTCACTAAGAAATGTTTTTCCAGTTGATACTGCTTCTGTCTTCTACTAAAGCACACAATAATAAACACCAGCTTCTGGGGGCAAAGCACAGTGTTAGCTAAAACATTCATATATTAATTTTCATTTTCTCAATCCAGTGGCTGTATGTTTTATATATTTCTCAGCATATCAATTAAGTTTCAGCATTGCTCACAGACATCTCATGTATATTTAGAGTATACTTTGCAGACTGAATTTCAACTTTGTGGTTTTTAACCCACAAAAGGTAAAGAATGAAAATAACTTTTACTTTAGGACACGCTATCCATTTCTGGACAAAAGTGTGTGATACATCCTCTAAAATAAGGTAAAGCACACCTCTATTGCCTTTCACAATTTAACTTCAAGCACAGATAACTATGTCTGATTATTATGGTCTTAATGGTACATTATATGCAAAGTAAATTCTGTTTCAAAAATTCCTTAGTTAACATGGATGATAAACAGTATACATTAACAAGTCCATTGTCATACACTCTGGGTGTTTACATTGCCATGGTCTATTTCTGCAACCTACAGAATCCAAGGCACTTTAACTTCTAATATGTAGCTTGGAAGTCAAAATAAGTCTACTGAATATACACCGTGAGTATACTACGTAAGTGTGAACTGTGATACAAACGGCATCACTTAAGAGTAAGTTTTAAATGTTAAAGATACAGCATTGTCTTTCCAGCTCACAAAGTAACTCTTTCCTCTTCTGACTTAAAAATACAAATACAAAAAAAAAGATCCTTACACTTTCAAAAATCCATGTTTTTGCTTTCAGTTCTAAGCCTAGACGTTTTATAATTGGGGAAATCAAGTATTTGGCTTGATTAACTATACTCTTTTTTGCATCCTGTGTATACATTCATACAGTAGGAAAATAAAACTGGTTAGCAAAGAAATTATTATCTCTGTCCTATTATGTAACATATTCTATGCTCTTTATATGAAACTTAGCACCAAGAGATGGAAGGGTGAAGAAATACTTTTGAGTAATTAGTTTAAAAAAAAAGAAAAGGGAAAAAGGAAAACTTTTCTTAAAATGTAAGCATAAAATTCACTATGAAACCCACAAAAGTCCATTAAAAACTCCAAGAAAACTAAGAACTAAAAGGGAAGGACACGATAATAAAACCCTTCTTTCCCACTGGTTCTTTCCTATGATTCATCACCAGAAACTATATGAACTGCCCAATGAATATGTAGAAATCACCTCAAAGTGAATGTCACTTTCTGAAAGACTATGATAGCTAGACTTTGGGACTGACTAAAGGAGCTCCAGATCACACAAGCAAACTAGATAGATACTTTCAAGCAAGAGTCAGAATGAGACAAGCTTCCTGTGGTTTAAAAAACAAAGATTTAAAAAAATCTTTAATACCAATGGCTTTACAAAACATCTTTCTCCAAATAACTAACCAGAAAGTTCTTATTATTTTAAGTTATTCTTAAAGTAGTAATTGCAAAGCCAGAGAACACATCTATTGATTACTTACTATCTAGTTTGCACAGTCCCAGATGCATAGCTTATGCTTAACAAGAATATGATGAAAGATTGAAGTAGATATAGATATTCTTTTAGATATTGTTAGAACTTTGCATTCTTTAAAGTAATTCTTTTTAGGGGTTTTATTCATTTGTTCATGGTCGAATGAGGGAAGAATAATATTTAGGATACCATGACTACTATAGGAGAGGTCTATGCAGTGAGGTCGATGTTCAGAGGACAATCTACTTGTTCAGAGGCAAGAGACTTCTGAACTAAGTCTTAAAGGACATAGGCTTCAAAGACGAAATCTGGAAAAAAGTAGGTACTTCAGCATCATGGGGTTTGTCAGAGGAACCATATTATGAAGACCTTATAAATGGTAAAGAATTTGGAATTTAATCTTTGGACAATGAAGACCGATGAAGGATTTTAAGAAACAGACTGGGTAGAGATGGTGCAGGAGGTAGTGTGGAAGGGGACAGGCTGCAGACTGAGAGACAGATAAGAGCCTAATGCAGCAAGAGAGAAAGTATACATTCCATGAAAGCAGACATGGCATTGATCTTGTATATCACTAATCCCTAGCCTTGAACAGATGCTCCTTGCTATGGTCTGAATGCTTGTACCCCTTCAGAATTCATATGTATAATCCTCACCCCCCAGAATTAGGGAGTGGGGCCTTTGGGAGGTGCTTAGATCATGAAAATGAAAGCTCTACAAATGGGATTAATGCTCTTACAAATGAGACCCCACAGAGCTCCCTAGCCCTTCTACCATGTGAGGACACAGTGAGAAAAAGTCACTGGCTAAACCAGGAGGTGGGCTCTCACCACATACAACCATGCTGGAGCCTCCATCTTGCATTTCCCAGCCTCCAGAATGGTGAGAAATAAATTTCTGTTTTTTATAAACTACCTGCAGTATTTTGTTATAGCAGCCCAAATGGATTAAGAGAGTCCCCAAATACTAGTTCACTAAGTGAATCATTCAATCCATCAGTGAGAGATGGTGAAGACCTGAATTAAGATAGCCATGGGGAGAGTTGAGAGGATGTTTTTGATAGATACTTCTAAGACAGAATTGACAGAATATTGTTATTGATTGAAACAAAGCATAAAGTAGAATATGATCTGACCTTTTAATCTGTCCTTGAAAAAACTTTGGTAATACCAAAGATCAAAAAAAAAAAAAAAGTTAACTTATGACTTGTTTAAAATACTTCAAAACTCTATCTTTCCTCTGAATTGATGGAGAAAAGTTAGATGATCATTAAGAAACTTGTTTTGCAAGTCCTGATTATGCAGAGACGTTAATCATGAGTCATGTAAGCTCCAATCATCATGTTCTATTCTGACTTCCAAAAAGAAGAACAGGTAAGAATTATCCTTCCTGATGAAAAGACAACCTACAGAATGGGAGAAAATATTTGCAAATGATGCGAGAGATAAGGGCTTAATTTCCAAAATATACAAACAGCTCATACAACTCAACAACAAAAAAACAAATGACCCAATCGAAAAATGGGCAGAAGACCTTAATAGACATTTCTCCAAAGAAGACATACAGATGGCCAATAGGCACCTGAAAAGATGCTCAACATCACTAATTATTAGAGAAATGCAAATCAAAGCTACAATGAGGTACTACCTTACACCAGTCAGAATGGCCATCATTAAAAAAGTCTACAAATAACAAATGCTGGAGAGGGTGTGGAGAAAAGGGAACCCTTTTACATGGTTGCTGGGAATGTAAGTTGGTACAGCCACTATGGAAAACAGTATGGAGGTTCCATAGAAAACTAAAAATAGAATTACCATATGATCCAGCAATCCCACTCCTGGGAATATACCCAGATGAAACTATAATTCAGAAAGACACATGCACCCCTATGTTCATAGTAACACTGTTTCACAATAGCCAAAACATGGAAACAACTTATCCCACTGACAGATGAATGGATAAGGAAGATGTGGTGTGTGTGTACACACACACGCACACACACACAATGGAATACTACTCAGCCATAAAACAGAATGAAATAATGCCATTTGCAGCAACATAGATGCAAATAGAGATTATCATACTTAGTGAAGTAAGTCAGAAAGAAAGACCAATACCATACGATATCACTTATATCATAAAATATGGCACAAATGAACCTATCTACAAAACAGAAACAAACTCATAGATATAGAGAACAGACATGTGGTTGCCAAGGGGGTGGGGGGAGGGAATTGGATGGAGTGGGAGTTTGGGGTTGGTAGATGCAAACTATTACATTTAGAATGGATAACCAACAAGGTCCTACTGTATAGCACAGGAAACATATTCAATACCCCGTGATAAACCATAATGGACGAGAGTATAAAAATATGTATGTGTATAACTGAGTCACTTTGCTGTACGGCAGAGATTGGCACACTATTGTAAATGAACTCTACTACAATAAAAAAATAATAAATAAAAATTTTAAGTAAAGAAACTTGTATGTTCACAGTGTCTTGATCACAGAATTAGAAGCCAAATGGACAGTTTTACCTAAATTTAAACACACTGTCCCATTTGAGAGATCAATACTTCGTTAAACAGTGACTGCTGAAATATACACACTATTAAAGGAACACTATTCTTACAAAATACGTAGAATTTTGTCTTTAATGACCACTAGTTTAGTTTTGAATTTGTTTTGAATAAAGCTGAAACAAGCAGGCCAAGAAACGAGGCAGAAGTTCATGCCCATAATTTAAATCCAAATCTTAGTTTTCATAAGACACACAAGGAAATGAGCCAAAAATATGCCAAGAGAAACAAGACAAATAATGTTAAATGCATTTAACTGGTGGCAAAAATGTGAATTTTAACCCTTAATGTTATAAAAGTACATGCAAAAATCAAAGCAAGATGAAAAAGAATTAAGAGTTTACTTCAAGAAAATAACTATTAGTATGTAATGAAGATACAAACATCAAACACTAAATTTTGTTTGTTTGTTTTTTGTTTTTTGTGGTATGCGGGCCTCTCACTGTTGTGGCCTCTCCCGCTGCGGAGAACAGGCTCCGTCCGCGCAGGCCCAGAGGCCATGGCTCACGGGCCCAGCCGCTCTGTGGCATGTGGGATCTTCCCGGACCGGGGCACGAACCCGTGTCCCCTGCATCGGCAGGC